TCCGTAGAGTCGAGTGGCCCGTACCCAGAGCTTGTTGGCTGCCTCATGTACCTGATGACCTGCACACGACCTGACCTTGCATACCCTCTTAGCATTCTTGCACGCTATGTTGCTCCTGGGAGACACAGACCGGAGCACATGGCTGCAGCGAAGAGGGTGTTGCGCTACTTGTGCAGTACGTCGGGCATGGGGCTTGTGCTTGGAGGGCAGAGTCCAGTGGTCCTCACTGGACACGCAGACGCTTCTTGGGCTGACGACCAGGCTACGCAGCGGTCGTCACAGGGTTACACCTTCAGCCTTGGTTCCGGCTCTGTTTCGTGGCGGGCTACCCGCTCGTCTTCTGTTCTCGGCTCCAGTTGTGAGGCTGAGATCTACGCCGGGGCCATGGCTGCACAGGAGCTTCGCTGGCTCACCTACCTGCTGACTGACCTCGGAGAGCTCCAGTGCTGTACGTAGACAACAAGGCCATGCTGGCCTTGTGTCGAGAGCAGAGACTGGAGCACAGAACGAAGCACATTGCTCTCCGCTACTTCCTTGCTCGTGAGCTACAGCAGCGTGGTCAGCTGCGGCTTGCGTACGTGGCCTCTGAGGCCAACACTGCTGATATCTTCACCAAGGCACTTCCGCCTTGTGATCATCAGCGCTTCTGTACTCAGCTGGGTCTTGTGCCTACCTTGCCTCACTTGCTCACCCCTTGACCTTGTTTGTACTGTTGCATATATATATACACCTGCTCTTGCTTGTCTAGTCTTATATATATATGCAATCCTGCATGTGAACTGGCCTTGTGGCCTTGAACTTGTGCTCGGAATGTGTGGTGACTTTGTGATCCACCCTGAGCTTGCTTTGCTTTGCTTGACTGGTCTTGTGACCCCTTGTTCTCCCCCACTTTGCCTATGGGGGTGTGTCAGATTTATATGACATAGCTACTGTAGGCTATAGTGGGGTAGCACATATGGGGTACAGTTTTCTAGGGTTTGCTTTTGTACCCAACTTTCCCTTAGTCAATCCATTCCTCGTTTCATCTCATCGGCTGGTAACCCCCGCTCCGGTCCTCCGCCTCGAATATTCCCAACCTCGGAGCCAGGCCCGACGCGCACCCACATTCCGCTCGTATTTGTTACCGCACTAGTCGCTATTTAACATTCGCTCATGCCTTCGCTCATTATGCTGTTGTTGCTCCAAGAGTGCACTCTTAGTTTGCTTACTCAATTGCACATGTAAAAGCTTGCTGTTCACGTGTAACAGAATCCACCCCGCTTCCATCCACGAACGCCTCGCATGTATATTTTGGAAAAGATTATACTGGGGCCGAACAGTGCCAGAGGGGTGATCGACCAGGGGCCGAGAGGCTCGGAACTAACCAAACCGCTGCACAAAGAGGGATTAACCAGATGATAATCGTTTTGTGCACGTATTTCTGTTACTAGTTCCTTGTACCGGCTCGCATTTTCGCTCACGTGCCATTTAGCGAGCCGAATCTACCGGGAATTCTAAGGGCAGCAAACAAAATAAAACCCTTGGTGAACCTGGATGCATTTTAGTGATGGATCAACCCTAAAAACGGGAACCTTCCTTGCATTTAGGGTTGATGCCTCCCGAGTCGCATACGTTTCCTTCGCATTTCCGATCAGGTGGGCGATATGTATCACCAAAAATATAACAAGCCATGTACTCACAATTTATCTCGCTGAAGTTTACTTCCAGAAGAATGAGACGTGCTTGTTGTAGTAAATGGCGGTCAGCACCCTCAACAGATACAAACGAACAATCAATTTGGTTCTTAAAGTATTTATCTTTTACTTACGGTTCGGCTTGTTCTCCAAGTCGTTTGGGCAGCTCCGGGTTAAATCCTACGATCGGGATTTACCGGCCCTGCTTTGGTCATCTCTCTGGCACTGTTCGGCCTCTTTTTGATAATTTCCCTGTATTTTTCGCGAGGGCCTCAATCGTGCACAATTATGATCCCAGCAGACGCCCCGCAACTCCCGCTCGCAAGGGCGATAATTGCTGCACAGCTAAAACTGCAGTCTCAAATTCACTGACGGCGAATCAGCGGTGCTGGGCCAAGCGAGCCCATCGCTTGAGGTCCCGGCCATCCGCGTCAATCATAGGCAGGAGAGGGCGGCGAGGCGTTACGTTTCAAAGCCGAAACATTTGCGAGACTGGAATCGCGGAGAGCATCCACCGCCGTGCTCTGCGGCGAGCGGCTCGAGCAAATGGCGCCAAATGATGGTGCAGCGAGCGACGATTATTCAACTTTCCAGGGGGCCCTGCGGTTGCGGCGACGGGCACAGCAGGCCCGTGCGTCCATAGGCATCCATCTCACGCGTGTTGTGCGAATGCTCAGAATTCGGCGAACCGCTTTCGTGGCTAGTAGTCCTCGCGAGTCCTCGCTTCCGCTCGCTTTCGCGTTCCTCTCTTGCTTCATTATTCCCGCTTACATGCTTCGTCGCACCGATTCTTCACGAAACAACACGCGAATCACACAAGAGCCGCGGCACCTTATTCGGCGACAACACCACGGTGGAGAAACTCGGCGCGAAGCTGCGGTCTCCTTGTGGCGAGCAATCAGTCCTTGCGACACAGCGTCAAGAGCTTCAGGAGCTGGAAGAGCTTCAGAGTAGCAGGCGCACTGAAGGGTCAGCCCCACCGCCTGGCACTCCTGCATCCGCGCTGCTCTCCGTCGCTACGGCCCGTGACATCGACCCGCCATGCTGCGCCCATGGAGCGGCGGCGGCGGCGGCGGCGGCGTGGGTGGCACGAGGGGCGTGCCGTGGGCGCGGGTGGCGGTGGTAGTGCTGGTGTGGCTGGGCGCGGCGATGCAAGTGTCGCTCGCTGCGCCCACCACCATCAACGACGCCGACGGTGCGCTCTTCTCCCCTCGCTCCCCCTCTCCCTCCCTCTCTCGCTCTCCGCCTCTCGCTCTCCGCCTCTCGCTCCCCCTTCCCCTCCCTCTCCCGCATCCCCTCCCCGCTCGTGCTCCCTTCCATTCCATTCCTCGCACCTCAGAACGACCTGGGCGCGGCCCACCTTCCTGTGGCGCGTATGGAACCGCCGTAGCCATGTGCCATGAAGCTGCACGATGTCTCATGGTGCGTGCTGTGCTGTGCTGTGCTGTGTGGCTGAGTGGTGCGTGCAGGCAGCGTGCTGCAGGAGTGCCAGGCAGCGTGGGGAGTGACGATGGACGGGTGGAAAGCGGGGAGTGACTGCGATCTGGCCGCGCACACACTCGAGTGCAGCGCGGAGGGCAGGGTGCTGGGCATGTGAGTCCCCTTGCGCTCTTTCAGGCGTCTCACTGCCAGAGTGCAACGGGGACGGCTGAGGGCAGGGTCCTGGGTACGGGAGTGAGGCGCCGTGCTGCGCACTGGGAGGCGCCCCCACTGTCAAGTCTACTACGAGCCCGACACGAGCCGTCCTAGCTCCCCCCCCTCTCACAACCGCCTTCCATGCTGCTCTCTCCACTTACCCCCCACAAGCCAACCCCCCACGTCACCTCACTGTTCTCACGCATCCTCATTCCCCCCCCTCGCCTTCCCCCATGCGCGCATCATCGATCGGCTGGTCAGCGCGCCCCAAGCCACCTTCATGCGCGCTGCATGTTCTTCCTTTCAATTCGTTTCGCATGAAGTGCACTGCACTCCGATTTCCAACATTTCCACGTGCTAATTCCCAAGTTGCTTGCAGCCCCATACGTACCGTTCCAACCAAGGGCACCAGCATCGCACTCTCATGCGGCATGTGTTATTCGTCTCCACACGCCAACTTTCCCCTGTTCCCTTTTTAACCCCCCCTCCCCCCCCCCCCCCCCTTGTCCTCCACTCGTCCCCGGGCCATGCGGCATGGAGAGCAGCAACGTGCGCAACAGGAACCTCACAGGGTCGCTGCCAGCGTCCATCGGCAACCTTGCTCACCTCACCATGCTGTACGCCCCTGCACTCCACTGCTTTCCCGTTCACCCCTCTGCTACGCCCCTGCTGCACGCCACTGCTTTCCCGTTCACCCCTCTGCTACGCCCCTGCTGCACGCCACTGCTTTCCCGTTCACCCCTCTGCTACGCCCCTGCACGCCACTGCTTTCCCGTTCACCCCTCTGCTACGCCCCTGCACGCCACTGCTTTCCCGTTCACCCCTCTGCTACGCCCCTGCACGCCACTGCTTTCCCGTTCACCCCTCTGCTACGCCCCTGCTGCACGCCACTGCTTTCCCGTTCACCCTTCTGCTACGCCCCTGCACGCCACTGCTTTCCCGTTCACCCCTCTGCTACGCCCCTGCTGCACGCCACTGCTTTCCCGTTCACCCCTCTGCTACGCCCCTGCACGCCACTGCTTTCCCGTTCACCCCTCTGCTACGCCCCTGCACGCCACTGCTTTCCCCTGCACCCTTTTGCTTCGCCCCTGCACCCTTATCCTCCCCGTCCTTGACTCTTCAACGCTCAACCCTTCACGTATCCGCTCCTATCCTGTTTTATCCTTCTGTCCCACCCTCACCTCCTCTCTTCCCTATTCTCCTCATCTCCCGTTTCTCACCTCTCTCCCTGTGTGGGCCGCTGTGCAGCGATATAAGCCGCAACAACATCAGTGGGCCCATCCCTGACTCCATCAGCCAGCTCAAGGCTCTTGCTTACTTGTCAGTGCTGGAGCAGGCGTGGGTGGGAACGGGATGGGGGGAGTACAGGGAAGGGGTGGGGGAGGAGAGGAAGGGGATGGTCATGCGGCGTCCACTGTTGAAAGCGTGAGATACGATAGGCCAGCAGAGAGATGCACACAACATGCCATACCATACAACCTGTCCCTTTCGCCACCACAAGGCGTGCATCGTGGCATTCCGCGCCCCATATTGTTATAGCCCCCACACAATGCTCGCTCGCAACCCTCACTCTTGCCCGCTTCCGCTCAACCCTCCCCGCCCCTCCCTGCCTGCCCCATCCCCACCCCTCCCCGTCTTTCCCTGCCCCTCCCACGGACCTGGCACACACCACACCACACCACGCCACACCAGGAACATGGCGTACAACCAGCTGAGCGGACCCATCCCCACTGGCGTAGGCCAGCTGCTCAAGCTCTCTGTCCTGTCAGTCTCTACCTCCCTCTCCCACTCCCTTCCACTCCTTCAATCAACTCATCTCAATCCCTTCCTCTCCCTTCGCACCCGTTTCCACCCCTTTCCCACTCCTTCCTACTCCTTCCCACGCACTCTTACTCCCTCCCACTCCCCTCCTTCCCTTCCACTCCGTCCCTCCCACTCCTCACTCCCTCACTCCTCACTCCTTCCCCTGCTATCCTAGCCCCTCGTCGTCAACCAGCCCTTCTTATGCATGCCCTCGTGCCTGCCCATGTGCGTGCCCACACCAACCAGCTCCGCAGCAGCATCAAGGTTTAAGGTGCTCAATGCACGACCGCTGAACCCTGCCCGTCTCCCCCTTGCCTTGCCTTTCCACCTCTCTGCCCCTGTGCCCCTCTGCTCCCGTGCCTCTTGCCCCTGTGTGTGTGGGTGGGTGGCAGGCGGGTGCGGCACAACCAGCTCAACGGCACCATCCCTGACTGCATCTCCCACTGCTCGCTGCTCCAATCGCTGTCAGTCACACGCCATGCCATGCCAGGCGCCCACCTCCTCCTCACGCTCACTCGCAAAGCGACCCAGTCCATTCGCCTATCGCGTACACTAAGTTCCAATCGATCGGGGCTCTGCACCACTTTACTGTTTGACGCGTTTCCACGCTCCCCCTCGCTCAATTTCTCCCCCCGTCCTCTCCTCATGCCACCCCTTCCCTCCCTCCATCCGCTGTCTGTCCCCACTGCGCCCGTGCCTCCCTCCCTGCACTGCACCTGCTGTCTCCCTCAATCGTCTGGCAGGCACGTGAGCATCAACCAGCTCACCGGCTCGCTTCCAGAAACCCTAGGCCAGCTTTCTAAGCTAAAGAAATTGTGCGTCCCTACATGCCCTCTCACCTCCTCCTCGTCCTACCCCCTCCCCTCCCCTTATATCTCTCCGTTTCCCGTCATCTTTCTCTGACGCCCTCCCCTTCCTCCTCCCCGTCTCTCTCAGTCCATGGGCCATTCAGTCTGCAGTACCACTCACAGTCAATCTCTCTTCCCACCACGCACTCCATCCAAGCCATGGTGTTTTCAAACGAAATCATCCCTTCCATCCACCACCTCCCACTCGTTCCCACTGTCTGCCCCATTCCATGCGCCCCTGATTTCCCTTCACTCACGCCTCTGACCTGTCCCTCTCTCTATGTCTCCCCCCGGGTGTGCATGTGTGGTGTCCTGCGCGCATGGGAGCAGGTGGGCGCACAACAACAGCCTCACAGGCGGCATTCCCCAGTCCCTCAGCCAACTCTCGTTCCTGCAAGACCTGTACGTGCCACCACAGCACCTCCACAGCACACCACCGCACCACACTCCCCATCTGCACCCCTCCTCCTCCCTCACCCTCCTCGCTCAGCGTTTCCACACACTCTCTGCTCCCCCCCCCCTCGCTCACCCCTCTCACTCACCTCCTTCACTCACCTCTTTCACTCCCCCACATCATTCTACTCCCCACTTTTCCTCTTCACCCCCCTTCCCAATCCACCCTCCCAACTCACTTGCACGCACCTCGTCGGGCGCCCGTGTGTGTGTGCAGTGCGCTTGCCTACTCAACCCCTTAGTGCTCACTGCTGTGGCTCATCACTTTCTCTCAAGCTCCTCTCCCCTTCAAATCCCTGCTCCTAAACCCATCCTTCCCCTGCTAACCCCATCCCACTCCTTCTCCCCCTCCTCTCCCCCACCTCCTGTCCCCCACCGCTGGGCCTCGCGTGACTGCGCGGCAGGAATCTGGGCAACAACAACCTCACGGGCACCATCCCTGCACCGGTCTTCACGCTCACCATGCTCACATCGCTGTCAGTGCCTCTCTGCTTCATGAGCTTTTCTTTCTCTGTGGGGTGTGTGCAGGTTTGTGTATGCGAGTGTGTGGGTGTTTGTGGGTGCAATGATGTGTGGGTGTGGGCAAGCAAGCCTATGTGCAAGGGGCCATGCTGGTTCTTTTGACTGCGTCTCCCTCTCCCACCACACACCATGTTCTTCTCCTCCTCCCCTCCTCCCCCCATCACTGCCTCCCCACCTCGCTGCCTGCCGTCTCCCCTGTCCCCACACCGTCTCCCATGCATGGGAGCATGTCGCTGGACAACACCCCCCCCCTCACCCCCCCTCTTCCTCACTGCGTGCCCCTCTCACGGCGTGCCACACGTGTGTGCGAGCATGGCATGGGAGCAGGTCGCTGGACAACAACAACCTCACGGGCTCGCTGCCAGACGCCCTCACGCAGCTGCAAGAGATCAAGAAACTGTGAGGAAGAGGGCGCCAGAGCCACACACATTCTTTTTTCTTCCATAGTAAAACGGCTCGTGAGAGAGAGTTAGCCGTGAGCCCTATCCTCCCTCTCCTTAGATCATACGCTGTTCTTTCCATAATCATTTCCAAGAACCACTACTAAAAGGCAGCATTTTTTCCCACTTCGCTATCCATTATGCACTCTTCCTTCCCCCCCCTCCGCCCTCCCACACCCATGGCACGCGCAGCAACCTAGGGGGGAACCATTTAGAGGGCACCATCCCAAATGCCATCAATAAACTCACCAACCTTGAACATCTGTGAGTCAGCACAGGCTAGACGTGAGTCAGCAACACTTGAATCCACGCTAGCAGCATCCACCTCTAACACGTGCTTAGGTAACACCACACTCCCTTACTTCCCCTCCTCGCCTCTCTGCCTTGCGTGTTTCGCTGCCCTTCCTATCACAACCTGCCCATGGGCTGTGAGCAGGGAGTTGGATCACAACGAGCTGCAGGGCTCCATCCCCACATCCATAGCGCGCCTGCAAGACCTCAGCCTCCTGTCAGTCGTCCTGCCATGCCATGCCATGCCATGCCATGCCATGCCATGCCATGCCATGCCATGCCATGTCATGCCATGTCATGCCATGCCATGCCAAGCCCTGCCATACCGTGCCGTGCCGTGCTGTGCCGTGCCGTGCTGTGCCAAGCCATGTGTGTGAGCATGCCGTGTCATGGCATGTTGATCCATGCCATTCCATGCTACCACACATTGATGCATGCCGATTGCAGCTTTTCCTCCCTCCATCCCTCGCCCCCTCCCTCCTCCCTCTCGTCCCCTTTCCCTCATCCTAAGCCCCTCCTCTCGATCTCCTCCTGCACTCCGCCACACCGCCACCACAGCAACCTGGCGAGCAACAAGCTCACGGGCAACATTCCCACCAAATTTGGCACCCTCAAGTCACTCAAGTACTTGTAAGACCCCCTCTCTCATGCCACGCCATGCTGCTGCACTCTTCCGCACCCTGGGCCCCTCGCACTCTCTCATGCGGATGTCATGAACCCCCAAGCTGCGGTGTGACCTCTCATTCCGTTCCGTTCCACACCATCTCACCATCCCATCCCCGCTCGCTCCCAGGCAGCTGTCCAGCAACCGTCTAGAGGGGGCCATCCCCCCCGCTATTGCTGCCTGCACCGCACTCAAGTCACTGTGAGCCTCTCCTCACACCCCACCGGTCCCCCCCTTTACACATCCTCCCCCATTGCTGCCTGCACTGCACTCCAAGTCATTGTCAGCCCTCTAACTCAATTCCCACCACCCCCCCCCTTCCCCCACCCCTTTCATCCCTCTCCTCCCTGACCCCCATGCCTTGTGCCCCGTGCGCCCCGTGCCCCATCTGTTAGAATATATCCTATGATGTTATAGTCGTGCTAGTGTTACACCCAATTCTGGGTGTACACTTTGTTCGAAGCGACCCGACCACTTTGGTTTGGAGCACCCCAACCCCCCTACGCCACAATTGACGGGCGCCACCTTTGCTGGCCCTTGTCAACCATTTATTGGTCCGCCAATAATTGGTGCCTCGCCCCAACCATTATTGGGTAACCAACAATGTTGGCCAACCAATAATTCTGGGAGCGCACCTCCTAGTTTCCTCGCTTTTCGTTCTCCTATGTAAGCCCAACGTTTTCCTTAATCAACTCTTGAGTTCACCTCTCATGCCAACTATGGGATTCTCTCACCATCCCGCCTCCCTCCTACCCCCTCTGGTGCGTGCGTGCTGCCCCCTGCTGCGTGTGTGCAGGGCGGTGAGCAGCAACCAGCTGAGCGGGTCCATCCCACAGGGGCTCCTCTCCCTCGCACTGCTCAGACAACTGTCAGTCGCGCTCCCCCCGTGCCCACCTGCCCCTGTGCTGCCCCTGTGCTGCCCCTGTGCTGCCCCTGTGCTGCCCCCGTGCTGCCCCTGTGCTGCCCCTGTGCTTGTCATCGCGCATCCACCTACCTAACCATCCATTCATACACGCGTCAATCCTTTCAACCCAACCTCATTCCCGCCTCCTCTCCTCTGCCTCTTTCTCTGCCTGTTCCTCTGCCTCCTCTCCTCTTCCTCTCCCTCCTCCACTGCCTCCTCGCCCTGCCCCCTTGCCCCGGTGCACGGCAGGGCGCTAGACAACAATAGTCTGAGCGGGTCCATCCCATCGGGCCTCAGCCGCCTCACCAGCCTCAGGACGCTGTGAGCCGCTGCTCTCACTTACACGCACACGCACACAAACACACACGCACACACACACACACGCACACACACACACACACGCACACGCACACGCACACAAACACACACGCACACACACACGCACACGCACACAAACACACACGCACACGCACACGCACACGCACACACACACGCACACACACACGCACACAAACACACACGCACACAAACACACACGCACACAAACACACCCGCACACGCACACGCACACGCACACAAACACACACGCACACACACGCGCACACACACACGCACACAAACACACACGCACACACACACGCACACACACACAAACACACACGCACACACACACGCACACGCACACGCACACACACACGCACATGCACACGCACACAAACACACACGCACACACACACGCACACGCACACGCACACACACACGCACACGCACACAAACACACACGCACACACACACGCACACACACACGCACGCACACAAACACACACGCACACGCAATCTCACACAAACACACATGCAAACACACACGCACACGCACACAAACACACACGCACACACACACGCACACAAACACACACGCACACAAACACACACGCACACAAACACACACACACACAAACACACACGCACACAAATACACACACACACACACACGCACATGCACACACACACACACACAAGCACACAAAAACACACGCACACTCACACAAACACACACGCACACGCACACACACGCACACACACACACACACAGTGCAGCATGTACATGCAGGGAGTGTGCAGGTGAAGTGTATGACGTGGTATACACACACTCAACCGTCTGCACGCTGTCAATCACCCTCTCCATTTCCCTTTCTCTTCTCCTCTTTCGCCTTCTTCTCCCTTCTCCCCATCCCCTCCCCTCCCCTTTTCTCTCATTCTCTCCCCTCCCCGCCTCTCATCGCCCTCTCGCCCTGCGCACCACCACGGCAGATCGCTGGCGGGCAACAGCATCTCGGGCCCTCTCCTGCCTGGCCTCGCGTCACTCAAGCGCCTGGAAACGCTGTCAGCCACCCACCCACCCACGACACCACTTTCCACAGCTTCTCAAATACCATTGTTGCTTGCAGTTTTGCCCGTCCCTCTCGTGGGCTCTGGCAGCCTGACACGCTAGGAGCACCCGCATTGCCACCGACCAGCGCTTCCCCTTCTCGTGCTCTCCCACTCACTGCTCTCCCACTCACTGCTCTCCTGCTCACTGCTCCCTTGCTCTGGTCCTTTGCCCTTCTCCCCTGCTCTACCCGTGTGCTCTGCTCATTTGCAATTATCCACGCTTCCCCTTCCCCCCAACTCTCCCCCCCCTCCCTTCCCCCCCTTCCACAGTTACTTAAACCAAACGCAGCTCACAGGGTACCTCCCTCCCGACCTGGGCAGCCTCGAGTTCCTCGAAAGTTTGTATGCATCCTTCCCCACCACACTTAACCGCACCCAACTGCACCCCACCCACCTCACCCGACCCCACCCTTTCCAGATAGCTTCTTCTACTCTGATAGCCGTGTGCTTGATAGGAGTCTAATCCATAACTAATTCGTACTCACCCGACCCCACACTTTTCAGATAGAATATCACTCGCCTCGGGTACACATAACTAGTTCGTACTTCCTAGGCGTGTCATTCTCACAGTTCAAACCCTCCGGAGTATGCTTTGAAAGCTCTACACTTCCCCTTCCATTCCTCCCCTCCTTCCCCCCCTCCTCTCTTGCCACCCCATCCTCCTCTCCAATCTCCCCTTCCCCGCCCATCTGACCCTCCTCGCCCCCCTCGCCCTCCGCTTCGCCCCTGTCGCCTCTGCCCGCCTCCCATATGCACACACTCCCGCAGACGTGCCCTCTCCCCTCTCCCCCCTGCCCCCCCCCCCCCCCCCCCTCTCCATGTTTCCCCCCATGTTCACCCATTCCTGTTCCCCCCCCATGTCCCCCCCCTTCCTGGTCGCCGCTCACCCCCCAGGAGCACGGCCAACACGTCGCTGTCGTGCCCGGCGTCGTCCTCCTCGTGCGTCTCGCCGCTCTCCAATGCCTCGCGCTTCTGCCACCTCTGCCCCCACTACTGCTCCGCCTGCCTTGCTGGTACGCACGGGTCGGGGACGCAAGTGCAGGTACAAGGGGAAGGGGGAAAGGGGAGGGAATTGGGAGGTTGGTCAGGAGGAGTGCTTATGGGGGGTACAAGGGAACAAACAGTGAGGCTAGAGGAGAAGGGGAGGTGTGGAGGGGGGCGAGAGAGAGGGGATGAGATAGATGCATTTGCGATGACTGCCTTTGGCTTGGGCTTGTGTGCAACAGGCATCATGAGGTAGAGGCATTGTGTGCTGTGTTAGGCGCCTTGGCTTGGCATGACAGTGCGAGCACGAGCTGCTTCTGCTGCTGCTGCTGAGACTGCTGAAACTGCTGCATGCCCTACCCCTGAACACCTAACCCCCAACCCCCTGTCCCGCTCACCCACCATCACCGTGCAGGCGCACCGGTGGCGCGCACGGTGGCCATCGCCGTGGGGGTGTCACTGGCGGTGGTGCTGCTGGTGGGCGCGCTGGGCGGGTGGTTCATCTACCAGCGCCTCAAGAAGCGCAGAGGCATGGGCGCGTCCGCTCGAGGTCCGTGCATGCGTGGGGATAGAGGGGCGTGTGGGCGAGGGGGAGGGAGAGTATGGAGGTGTTCATATAGTTCTCCATCTTACACAAGAAAGCGGAGAGGGGAAAACCGGAGGCAAGGGAGAGATGGTTTAGAGGAGAGGGGGAGAGAGGGGAAGGAGAGGTGTCTTTTTCATGCTCCCCTTGCTTGCCCTTGAATCCCCCCTCCGTCGCTCTCTCCCCTTTTTACTGTGCAAACCGCCGATGCATGTGTGGAGGAGTACACCCCCTCCCTCCATCAAAAGCTCTCCACCCAACTCCCAATCACTCCCTACCTGCTGCCATGGCAAAAATCAAAACCAGCGCCTCTCCCCCACCCTTTTCCCCCTCTTCCCCTCTTCGTCCCCACCTCCCCCCCCCCTCCTCCGCCAGTGCAAAGCGTGGAGGCATTCGTGGAGTACTCGCTAGCGGAGGTGAAGAAGGCCACCAACAACTGGGCGCCCGACAACCGCCTGGGCGCGGGGGGCTTCGGCGACGTGTACCAGGGCGTGAACCCGCGCGACGGCAGCACGCGGTGGGCGGTGAAGCGCGGGCGCGTGGTGACAGAGGACTTTGACACGGAGGTGCGGCAGATGGCCACCAAGCACCACCCGCACCTGGTGCGCCTGCTGGGGTACTGCGACGAGGCGGACAAGGAGCAGCAGGAGCAGATCCTCATCTATGAGTTCGTGCCCAACGGCGACCTCGACCACTGGATCGGCCCCAGTGAGTGGGGGCTCTCACAGATACTGGGGGAGGGGGGGTGCAGTGAGTGGTGGCATTGGGAGATGCTGGTGGGGGGGTAGGGCGCAGTGAGTGCCAACAGTGCCCGGCAGTTGTTTCAGTCATTCGTGAGGATTGCATGTGAGCGTGCTCAGGTTATGCTGTGTGCTCATGTGGCTACAGAGACCAGGAAGGGGCCTCTGGAGAGGTCCAAGTGAATGAGTGGGGATGACAAGGACGGGTCTTGGTTGACTTGGCGTTATCGCTTTGGCAGTTGCTGCTGTTGAGTGTGAATGTAACTTGCATCTGGTGCCGCTTGCCCGTCTCATGCTCGTTTCGCCTCCCCTCTCCTACTCTGTGTCACTGCCGGCATGTATGCATGGGTGTGTGTGGATGTATGTGCATGTGCATGTGCATGTGCGTGCATGTACACGTGCATGTGTGTACAATGCCGCGTGTGCGCATCATTACAGAGGCGGCAGGCTCGCTGACGATACGGCAGCGGGTGGACATTCTGATAGGAGCAGCGAGGGGCTTTGAGTACATGCACAGCTTCAACATCGTGCATCGGGACATCAAGCCTGCTAACATCCTCATCACCAACGACATGCAGGCACGCTGCCTCCCCTGATCCTCCCTTGCTGCCTCGTCCCCTGCCTTGTCCCCTGCCTTGTCCCCTGCCTTGTCCCCTGCCTTTTCTTTCTATTTCCTCTCCACTTTGTCCTCTGCAGATGGGGGATACAGCAAAGGCATCACCTGCTATCTTCCTCCGAGCCCTCCATGCCCTCTTGTCCATGTCCCATGGACCTCCCCTCCACACTTCAATTGCCATCTTACCGCTTTTTCCCTCTACACCACCCCCATGTTCCTGCATCCTTTCCCCTTTCCTGTTCTCTCTCTTCCTGCCACCGTCTCCCCCTCTCACCCCCACCATCCCACCACGCCACCACGCTACCACGCCACCACGCCACCACGCCACCACGCTACCACACCACCATCTGTCGCGTGCGTACAGGCGAAGATAGCGGACTTTGGGCTGGTGCGGCAGGAGGAGGGGCCGGGGAGTCTGTCGGCGACGAGGGTGATGGGCACGCCGGGCTATGTGGACCCCGCATACCTGCTGTCTCAGAAGGCCACCACTGCCACTGACGTCTACAGGTGCGTGTGGAGCTGCCGTGGCCATGCGCTGCTGCTGTGTGGGTGCGCTGCTGTGCCGCTGATGGATCGTTGTGTCGTGCTGCTGGTGTGGGCAGCTGAATGCTAATGTTTGTTTACATGTGCCCATTCTCCTCCATGGCACCATGCCTTTCTGCCCGTCCAAGGTCCATGGAAGGCTCACCCTGCTGCGTGCCACTAGTGCTCTTCTTGCTCCATGTCTTTCTGCCTCTTCTTTCTCTTGTGCCGCCACATCTATGGTCCACCCCTCACTCGCTCCTTTTCCTATCTCACCTCTCTCTCCGTCACTAGCGCCCCTGAGCCCCTCGCGCACTCCTTTGTTATCACTGCAGCTCTGTCAAGCTCATTGTCCCTGCCTGCCTTTCATTCCCTCCGCCCTCGTTTCCCTCCTTCCACCTCCCCCGTTCCACCCCCGTCCCCCGCGCGTGCACGGCGTGCACAGCTTTGGAGTGCTCATCCTGGTGATGCTCACGGGGCGGGATGTGGTGGAGTCCGCACAGAAGAAGTTCACGCACCTGCGCGACCTCGTATGTGCACCCACCTTCAACTGTCCACCCGCCCCGCCATGTGGTGCCTCCACACTCGTCGCACCCCTGCCACGTCCCACTTCCCACCACCTTCATTAGCGAATGTGCTCAACATTCTCAGTATGCACTCAACATTCTCAGTATGCACTCAACATTCTCAGTATGCACTCAACATTCTCAGTATGCACTCAACATTCTCAGTATGCACTCAACATTCTCAGTATGCACTCAACATTCTCAGTATGCACTCAACATTCTCAGCATGCACTCAACATTCTCAGCATGCACTCAACATTCTCAGTATGCACTCAACATTCTCAGTATGCACTCAACATTCTCAGTATGCACTCAACATTCTCAGTATGCACTCAACATTCTCAGCATGCACTCAACATTCTCAGCATGCACTCAACATTCTCAGTATGCACTCAACATTCTCAGTATGCACTCAACATTCTCAGTATGCACTCAACATTCTCAGTATGCACTCAACATTCTCAGTATGCACTCAACATTCTCAGTATGCACTCAACATTCTCAGTATGCACTCAACATTCTCAGTATGCACTCAACATTCTCAGTATGCACTCAACATTCTCAGCATGCACTCAACATTCTCAGCATGCACTCAACATTCTCAGTATGCACTCAACATTCTCAGTATGCACTCAACATTCTCAGTATGCACTCAACATTCTCAGTATGCACTCAACATTCTCAGTATGCACTCAACATTCTCAGTATGCACTCAACATTCTCAGTATGCACTCAACATTCTCAGTATGCACTCAACATTCTCAGTATGCACTCAACATTCTCAGCATGCACTCAACATTCTCAGTATGCACTCAACATTCTCAGTATGCACTCAACATTCTCAGTATGCACTCAACATTCTCAGTATGCACTCAACATTCTCAGCATGCACTCAACATTCTCAGCATGCACTCAACATTCTCAGTATGCACTCAACATTCTCAGTATGCACTCAACATTCTCAGTATGCACTCAACATTCTCAGTATGCACTCAACATTCTCAGTATGCACTCAACATTCTCAGCATGCACTCAACATTCTCAGTATGCACTCAACATTCTCAGTATGCACTCAACATTCTCAGTATGCACTCAACATTCTCAGTATGCACTCAACATTCTCAGTATGCACTCAACATTCTCAGTATGCACTCAACATTCTCAGTATGCACTCAACATTCTCAGTATGCACTCAACATTCTCAGTATGCACTCAACATTCTCAGTATGCACTCAACATTCTCAGCATGCACTCAACATTCTCAGTATGCACTCAACATTCTCAGTATGCACTCAACATTCTCAGTATGCACTCAACATTCTCAGTATGCACTCAACATTCTCAGCATGCACTCAACATTCTCAGCATGCACTCAACATTCTCAGTATGCACTCAACATTCTCAGTATGCACTCAACATTCTCAGTATGCACTCAACATTCTCAGTATGCACTCAACATTCTCAGTATGCACTCAACATTCTCAGCATGCACTCAACATTCTCAGCATGCACTCAACATTCTCAGTATGCACTCAACATTCTCAGTATGCACTCAACATTCTCAGTATGCACTCAACATTCTCAGTATGCACTCAACATTCTCAGTATGCACTCAACATTCTCAGTATGCACTCAACATTCTCAGTATGCACTCAACATTCTCAGTATGCACTCAACATTCTCAGTATGCACTCAACATTCTCAGTATGCACTCAACATTCTCAGCATGCACTCAACATTCTCAGTATGCACTCAACATTCTCAGTATGCACTCAACATTCTCAGTATGCACTCAACATTCTCAGTATGCACTCAACATTCTCAGCATGCACTCAACATTCTCAGCATGCACTCAACATTCTCAGTATGCACTCAACATTCTCAGTATGCACTCAACATTCTCAGTATGCACTCAACATTCTCAGTATGCACTCAACATTCTCAGTATGCACTCAACATTCTCAGCATGCACTCAACATTCTCAGCATGCACTCAACATTCTCAGTATGCACTCAACATTCTCAGTATGCACTCAACATTCTCAGTATGCACTCAACATTCTCAGCATGCACTCAACATTCTCAGCATGCACTCAACATTCTCAGTATGCACTCAACATTCTCAGTATGCACTCAACATTCTCAGTATGCACTCAACATTCTCAGTATGCACTCAACATTCTCAGTATGCACTCAACATTCTCAGCATGCACTCAACATTCTCAGCATGCACTCAACATTCTCAGTATGCACTCAACATTCTCAGTATGCACTCAACATTCTCAGTATGCACTCAACATTCTCAGTATGCACTCAACATTCTCAGTATGCACTCAACATTCTCAGTATGCACTCAACATACTCAGTATGCACTCAACATTCTCAGTATGCACTCAACATTCTCAGTATGCACTCAACATTCTCAGTATGCACTCAACATTCTCAGTATGCACTCAACATTCTCAGTATGCACTCAACATTCTCAGCATGCACTCAACATTCTCAGTATGCACTCAACATACTCAGTATGCACTCAACATTCTCAGTATGCACTCAACATTCTCAGTATGCACTCAACATTCTCAGTATGCACTCAACATTCTCAGTATGCACTCAACATTCTCAGTATGCACTCAACATTCTCAGTATGCACTCAACATTCTCAGCATGCACTCAACATTCTCAGCATGCACTCAACATTCTCAGTATGCACTCAACATTCTCAGTATGCACTCAACATTCTCAGTATGCACTCAACATTCTCAGTATGCACTCAACATTCTCAGTATGCACTCAACATTCTCAGTATGCACTCAACATTCTCAGTATGCACTCAACATTCTCAGTATGCACTCAACATTCTCAGTATGCACTCAACATTCTCAGTATGCACTCAACATTCTCAGTATGCACTCAACATTCTCAGTATGCACTCAACATTCTCAGTATGCACTCAACATTCTCAGTATGCACTCAACATTCTCAGTATGCACTCAACATTCTCAGTATGCACTCAACATTCTCAGTATGCACTCAACATTCTCAGTATGCACTCAACATTCTCAGTATGCACTCAACATTCTCAGTATGCACTCAACATTCTCAGTATGCACTCAACATTCTCAGTATGCACTCAACATTCTCAGTATGCACTCAACATTCTCAGTATGCACTCAACATTCTCAGTATGCACTCAACATTCTCAGTATGCACTCAACATTCTCAGTATGCACTCAACATTCTCAGTATGCACTCAACATTCTCAGTATGCACTCAACATTCTCAGTATGCACTCAACATTCTCAGTATGCACTCAACATTCTCAGTATGCACTCAACATTCTCAGTATGCACTCAACATTCTCAGTATGCACTCAACATTCTCAGTATGCACTCAACATTCTCAGTATGCACTCAACATTCTCAGTATGCACTCAACATTCTCAGTATGCACTCAACATTCTCAGTATGCACTCAACATTCTCAGTATGCACTCAACATTCTCAGTATGCACTCAACATTCTCAGTATGCACTCAACATTCTCAGTATGCACTCAACATTCTCAGTATGCACTCAACATTCTCAGTATGCACTCAACATTCTCAGTATGCACTCAACATTCTCAGTATGCACTCAACATTCTCAGTATGCACTCAACATTCTCAGTATGCACTCAACATTCTCAGTATGCACTCAACATTCTCAGTATGCACTCAACATTCTCAGTATGCACTCAACATTCTCAGTATGCACTCAACATTCTCAGTATGCACTCAACATTCTCAGTATGCACTCAACATTCTCAGTATGCACTCAACATTCTCAGTATGCACTCAACATTCTCAGTATGCACTCAACATTCTCAGTATGCACTCAACATTCTCAGTATGCACTCAACATTCTCAGTATGCACTCAACATTCTCAGTATGCACTCAACATTCTCAGTACATTCTCAGTATGCACTCAACATTCTCAGTATGCACTCAACATTCTCAGTATGCACTCAACATTCTCAGTATGCACTCAACATTCTCAGTATGCACTCAACATTCTCAGTATGCACTCAACATTCTCAGTATGCACTCAACATTCTCAGTATGCACTCAACATTCTCAGTATGCACTCAACATTCTCAGTATGCACTCAACATTCTCAGTATGCACTCAACATTCTCAGTATGCACTCAACATTCTCAGTATGCACTCAACATTCTCAGTATGCACTCAACATTCTCAGTATGCACTCAACATTCTCAGTATGCACTCAACATTCTCAGTATGCACTCAACATTCTCAGTATGCACTCAACATTCTCAGTATGCACTCAACATTCTCAGTATGCACTCAACATTCTCAGTATGCACTCAACATTCTCAGTATGCACTCAACATGCTCTCAAACGCAAGCCATCACCACTACCTCTCACGATTCCACCACCATCTCCTTCCTCCCTATTCCTCCTCACCCGTCCGCTTTTTCCTCCCTTTCCTTCCCCCATCCCTCCAATCCCCTCACCGCCCGTCACACCCCCCAGGCAAAAACGCCGTCGCCTCCAGCGTGCTGCTGATCGGGGGCATCGCAGTCCGCTGCACGGACCAGCGCATGGTTCTCCTCCCCTCCATCAGTGTTCACACTTCTCAATGCTCCCCCCTCCCCTTCCCCCCCACCCCTCACTCCCTTCAGGCGAAGCAAGCCGTGGCCTCCAGCGACGCCAGTGCCATCCGCGACCCGGCCCTCCCCGACGCGCCCGACGCGGCCCTGCTGCTGATCGCGGACATCGCAGTGCGGTGCACGGACCAGCGCACGGCGCTGCGCCCCTCCATGAGCGAGGTGGTGAACGCGCTGCAGGCGGTGCGGCGGCAGCACCTGGGGGGCGACGAGGAGGAGCAGAAGAAGGCGGAGTCAGCGGTGCTGGTGGACGCGGAGATAGAGGCGATGCGCGTGGAGCTGAGGGGGCACGAGGACACGCTGGACGAGGAGCTCAGCGCCGTCATGCGCTCCATGGCCACGCCCCGCGGGGCCGCTGCTGCCACCCATGGGTTCCCGCCCGTGTCTGGTTCGGGCGGTGGGTCTGGTGCTGCTGGGAGTGCTGGCTCTGAAGCAGCAGACACGCGGGTGACCATTCACGACCCCCACCCGCTCCCCACGGCCTCTGAAGGAGCCGCCGCCGCTGCTGCCACTGCTGCTGCTGCAGCTGCTGCGGGCGCCAAGGCTGGCGAGCAAGAGGAAATCCAAGAGGTGTCGCTGCAGTTCTACCTTGATAAGCCCGCACCCGCCTCACACACCCCACCGCCCGCCCCACCACCCGCAGAACAGCCTGCATCGTTCCAGTTCTCTCCTGCACCAGACCCTTCCTTGCCCCCGCCTGGAAGTAGCGGCGATGGTAGGGCGCCGGGTGGTGGTGCTGTTGAAGCAGGGAGAGGCCAGGACACTGTGTTGTCTGTGGACGACTCACAGCAGGGCGGGGCTTGGGAGGAGCACCCCCCGCATGGGGATGTGCATGTGGGAGGGCAGCAAGCTGCTTCACCTCCCCCACCGCTCTTCAGGCAGCATGAGCTCGAAGCTGCGCCCCAAGATGAATCCGAGCCTGAGCTCAAGCGTGAACCTGAGGGTGGCACTGGATTCGTGCACACGGCTGGACGTGGTCCTGGGCATGGTGCTGGGCCCGTGCATGGGGATGGGGAGGCGCCCATTGCACTTCACGCACAGGGGGCTTTCATGGGAGAGCTGCAATACGCCGCTCCTGCCTCTGCTGCTTCTGCCCCTGCTGCTGCTACCTCTACTGCATCTGCCTTGTCTGCTGGTGCTGCTGGCATGGCTGGGGCAGAGGATTCTGATGCTGAATCTTTCTCGTTCGGGAACCTTGCTCCCCAAACTTCTTCTGCTGCCCTCACCCCTCCACCTGTCCTCACCCCTCCACCTGTCCTCACCCCTCCACCTGTCCTCACCCCTCCACCTGTCCTCACCCCTCCACCTGTCCTCACCCCTCCACCTGTCCTCACCCCTCCACCTGTCCTCACCCCTCCTCCTGCCCTCACCCCTCCACCTGTCCTCACCCCTCCTCCTGCCCTCACCCCTCCTCCTGCCCTCACCCCTCCTCCTGCCCTCAACCCTCCTCCTGCCCTCACCCCTCCTCCCACCCTCACCCCTCCTCCTGCCCTCACCCCTCCTCCTGGCCCCGCCCCTCCTCCTGCCCTCACCCCTCCTCCCACCCTCAACCCTCCTCCTGCCCTCAACCCTCCTCCTGCCCTCACCCTTCCTCCCGCCCTCACCCCTCCACCTGGCCTCCGCCCACCACCAGGCAGGACCACAACCCCAGCAGCGCCTGTCCCACAGCCCGCACCTGCGTTGTCATCACAGCTATCACTGGGCGTCACAGCTCTGATGTCTGAGGACTCCACCCAAGATGATGACCCACTGGCAGAAACACCAAGCTCTGACGCGCCCGACCCCGACTCATCCCACACGTCAGACCCCGCTGGAGCATCAGGGGGTTCTTCTATCAGCCAGCAAGATTCAAGTGGTCCGGGGGATTCTTCTGGCTCTGCTCGCAAGAGTTCGCGCAAGGGTGGCCGGAAGGGTCGTAGAGGGAGGTGAAGTTGAGTGCCAGGCTGATCAAATTGTTCATGCGGTGTATCCGTGGGCTCTTGTACTCGTAGTAGATGGTGGGTTGATAAGTGTATGTGGGTTCTTTTTCTTTTCTTTCCATTCTGTTGTATCTGGTTAGCAATAAAGCTTATATATCTGTTTATGACTGACATTATGTGTAAGCTGGTTACGATTAAATTTTCTTCTATAATTTTTAAACCGGATTTAATCTGGTTTAGAGCGGTATCATAGGGATGTGGAAGATTGTTCCCAGTGATTGAATTTTGTTCGGCAGCTCCGAATGTCTTTATCCCCCATCCAAAGCTTGAGGAAGTTTACGTGTGTGAGGTGGTGTTCTGCTACTCCTTGGAACATTATCATTACCGTAGCACTAGTACCGTATACTCCCGGACAAAACACCCCCCATAATTGTACACCCCCGGGTAGCTTGTGCGGGGTGGGTGTTATGATAGACCTCGTTTCTACTATACCCCCCTTTTTGGCTGATTTTCTATAACACCCCCCTTTTCTTACGGATTCATTATTATAGTCGTTAACGAGTAGCTGCAATACGGAAGAATATCGTGTGAATTTCTCCCTCGATGAAATTTCGCGGTACATTCAAAGGCAATCTGCCGAGATTTGCCCCCTCCCACTATTTCTCTGTCGCCACGTGCAGGTGAATCTTCCGTTGCAAGTGGCAAGAGAGGTGCCACATGCCATTTTCGTGGGGGCGATGAAGTTCGAGGCCGAAACTCACATTCACGCCTCAGGCAGTGATGCTAAAACGACCAGCAAAACACCCACATTGACTAATTAAAAAAACACTAACACTAATATAGGACATATGTAAAGACCCGGGTATTATGTATTTTTTTCCTATGAGGAGACCCCCCCCATTTTTTCCCTGTATTTTTAGCTATACCCTAGGGTGTTATGTCCGGGAGAATACGGTATATATTCCATGGGAGCAAGCACCCTCTCTTCTCATCCACACCCCGCTTGCTCCACCCTCTCCTGCGTCTCCCTGCCCGGCGTCCTCATCTTCCTCCTGCTCTCTTGACTTCTGGGTCGACTAGTACGTAAGTGAAGTAACCCTCACCTGCCTGCACCGGCCCTGCACCCTCATAGTGCTCCTCTGCTGTGCTGTGCTGCGGCGAGGGCTGGTCTAACGGAAGGAGTCGGGCAGCTTGGGCTTGTTGCGCATGATGGCGTCTATCCGCTCCATGACTGCGGGGGTCAGCTTCGGCATCACCTCCAGTGCCTTCATGTTCTCCTCTATCTGCCATGCACGCATGCATGCATACGTGCACATGCACAGTAACACACACAATGTTGAACCTGCATTCCCTGCACTCCCTCTCTATGGATTTTGACCCTGCACCGGACCACAGACCCCTCTCCCCACTCCCACAACACCCCCCTCCCCTCGCCCCACTCTCTCCTCCCCCCACTCTCTCCTCCCCCCACACTCACCACGCACCTGGCTTTCCATGGTGCTTTCCACACACCTGTCTCCACACCCCCCACCCAACGCTCCCCACTCCTCCTCACCCTCCTCCCTCCATGCCCCCATCACCCCACTACCCACCACACACCTGGCTCTCGTTGGTGCTGCCGATGATGACCACTCCCTACTGCCCCCACTCCCCGCACGTCCCGATCCCCAGTCCCCCCCTCTCCCACCACCTCCCCCACCATTCCCCACCCCGTCCCCCCCGCGCACCTGGGACTCCTTGGTGGAGCCGGTGATGACGGAGGAGACGAGGGGGTTCTTGGCGCACCACGCGAGGCTGAGCTGCGCCACCGTGCACTGCAGCTCGCCCGCCACCGCCTGCAGCGCGCCCACCTTGTCCAACACCTCCTCCACCAGCTTGCGCGTCGCCAGGTGCTGGGGGGGGGAGTGGAGACGGGAAAGCAGGGTGGAAAGCGGGGATGGGTGGCGGACAGGGAACAGGGGGCGACGGCGGCAGGAAAAGGGGAGGGAGTGGGAAGAGAGAATGACAAGGGAATGGTGATCAACGGTGGGGGGAGGCGGGGGAGGGCAGCAGGAGGGAAAGAGGGAGGTGAAGCTGGGGGAAGGAGGCGGAGCAGGCAGCAAGGGGCAGCAGTGGTGGTGACATACTGCGAGAGGGCGTGTGGGCGTGAGAGGGCGTGAGAGGGAGTGAGAGGGAGTGAGGGCGTGAGAAGGCGTGAGAGGGAGTGAGAGGCATCAAGGTAAAAACCATTGCATGACTTGACGTGAGAGGCCTCACCTTGTAGTTGGCGAGGGCGAAGCGCGAGTCGGGGGGGATGTGGCCGCGCGCGTACTTCCCTGTGAGCACTCCCGACGCCAGCGGCGACCACGTGGTGAGCCCCAGCCCGTACGGCTCGTACAGCGGCAGGAACTCCTTCTCCACCTGGTGCCACGGGGGGAAAGGGGAGGGCGGGAAAGGGCAAGGGGGGAATGGGCGACAAGGGAAACGGGTGGGAGGGGGCGAGGGTGGGGAAGGAGGGGATGGAGACGGAAGAGGGTGGGTGGGGGAGGGTGGGGAGGGATGGAGGGGAAAGAATGTGACATAAAGAAAGAGTGGAGGGGTGTGAGCGAGGGAGTGTATGTGGGAGGGGGGCTGGGTTGGGGGGGCGGCGTGTGTGTGGCGACCAGTGTGTCTGAAGGTAAGTGCTTCTGTGAACGTGCAGACTGAGTGAGAGGAAGTACAAGGGAGAAGCGAGGGAGAGAAAGAGTGCGAGAAAGAGGGGCAGAGGGGGGATGGAGGAGGGGAGAGAGGAAGTGGAAGCAGGGGGAAGCGAGGGAGGAAAGGATATAAGCAGGGGGAGCAGGAAGAGCATGCGGTTAACGGGTACCAGCAACTCTGTCCACTCTAGCGATGAATGACAACAGCTACCCACACACCACGCTCAACACACATTCATCCACTCCACTTCCTTCCCCACCCCCCCAGTCCCCGACCCCTCTCGCATGCCTCCTTGCTCCCAGCCTCATCACGCAGATTCCACCATATATTGAAGAACCTTCCTCCTCTCGCCGCCCACCTTCTCCCCTCTCGCCGCCCACCCCCCCCTTCTCACCGCACACCTGGCCCGTGTGGCTGCGCACCTTCTCCCGCGCGATGAGGTTGTACTCGGGCTGCTCCATGGCGGGCCCGATGAGGTTCAGCCGCCGCGCCACCTCACACGCCTCCGTGATCTGCGCCGCACTCCACTCACTCGTGCCCCAGTAGAACGCCCACCCCTGCCCAGTGTTGTTTGTGAGCGTGGGCGCGGGGAGACGCGGGGGTGGGGACGGGGGCAGGGGCGTGGAGGAAGGTAGGAGGCGAAGAGGATTGGCGTATGAAGGGGAGGAAGGCATGCCTCGAGTGCTTCTCCAAGGGCGCAGATTAGACCTGCGCCGCACTCCACTCACTCCTGCCCCAGTGGATCGCCCACCCCTGTCCAGTGTTGTTTGTGAGCGTAGGGGCAGGAGGGACAGAACAGGAAAAAAGGCAGGGGTAGGGGGAGGGGCGGGGGGGTTTAGGGGAGAGGATTGGCGTATGGAGGGGAAGAGGGCATGCTTGATTGGCCCCCCTTATCAATGGGGCGCACAGTCTTCCCTCTTTAACACTTCTCCCCTCCCCCCTAACACCCTCCTCCTCTCCTCTCCTCTCCTCTCCTTCCCCCCCCTCCCCCCCCCCCCCGCACCTTATCAATGACGTGGTTCATGGCGCGCACGGTCTCTTCGATGGGAGTGGAGGCGTCGGGGCGGTGGCAGTAGAGCAGGTCCACGTACTCCATGCCCAGCCGCCGCAGCGACGCGCGCACGCCCTCCACTATGTGCTTCCGCGACAGCCCCTTCTCGTTCACGCCCTGCGACCGGGTGACGGGAGGAATTCGGGACGGGGGGGACGAGGGAAGAAACGGGGGATGCGGGCGGGGGACCGGGGCGGAGCGGCAAGGGGGCGGGGGGCAGAAAGGGGGGGTGCAGGGGGGGGAAAGGCGGAGGTTCTCTGATTGGAATTGCAACGACTCCCCTTAACAATGCGCTTCTCGTTGTGCGACAGGGGGGAAGAAGAGAGAGAGACTGGGAGTAGGGAAGGGGAAGGGCGGGAGAGGGAATTTCGTGCCTGGCGGCCTGGAAGCCTGTTATAACTCCCTCACCACCTGGCCGCCCCATAAAATCGTGAAGGAGGCGACGACGTCAGAGCGTCGCCAGCCCAGCTCAACAACCCCGACCCCAAAACCCGCACCAGCCCCCCGCCGCACTTAGTCTCCCCACACCACCTGCCACCACTCCAAACCCACCTGGCCGCCCCAGAAGATCTTGGTGGAGACGACGATCTCGGAGCGGCGCCAGCCGAGCTCGCGCACGGCCTGGCCGAAGATCTCCTCGGCCTTGCCGTTGGCATACACCTCCGCGTTGTCAAAGAAGTTCACGCCCGCCTCGTAGCACCGCCGCAGCAGCCGCTTCGCTAGCTCCACGTCCACCTGCGCGCGCACCGCGGGGGGGGAGGGGGGAGTCGGGGATAGGGGTGGGGCGGGGAGGAGAGGGGCGGGGCGGGGTGGGCAGGGGTGGGCAGGGGTGGGCAAGGGGGGGGCAGGGGTGGGCAGGACAGGGGAACGGAGGGGAGCGGAGGGTGGGAGGGGGGGGGGGGGGAGAGAGAAGGGGGGGTGGGGGGGGGGGGGGGGGGGGGAGGGGGTGGGGAGAAGGTGGGGTGGGGGGGAGGGGAGGGGAAGAAGAAGGGGGGGGGGGGGGGGGGGGGGGTGGGGAGGGTCGTGGAGGGCACGGTCGAGGTTCGGGGTGGGGGGTTTGGGGGGGAGAGATCCGAGAGGTGCGTGGGGAGAGAGTTTGGATAGAGTTTGGGAATTTGAGGGGAAGGCGGAAGAGGGACGAGAACGGGGAGAGGAAGAACGAGGCGGCGTGGGGATGCGGGTGGGATGCGTCACCCATCCGGGGTTGTGCGGGGGTAACGATGCGCTCGCGAGCGGGTAGGCATGGCTGCGGAGCGGCACCGCGTCGCGCATTGACGGATGACCGGAAAACGAGGTGATGTAGCAGATCGGTGACGGGAGGCGGCGACAACGGCTATGCGAATCGAGGATCACACAGATCTAAGGATGAGGGCGTCGAATCGAGCGCGGAACCAGGAGGGTGGACATTGGTGCGACCAGGGAGAGAGGGCAGCAGCGCGAAGGAGCAGCACAAAGCGGAGGTCGTTGTCATTCCTCGCCGCTATGGCGCCGGTGCTGACGGCGGACCGCAACTCTCGGAGTGCGCCGCGCGTTGATTTGATCGGCGAGCGCGTTTGCGGGAGAGAAAGGGAACGGATTGGCACCTGGTTGCCGAACGTGACCCACGACCCGAAGCTGAACACCGACACCTTGAGCCCCGTGCGACCCAGATTGCGATACTCCATCGTAGGCCTGCTGCCGCTGTGACCGTCGCCTGTCGCTGTAACTGCTGTCGACATGCTCGCCTTTTTCTCCGACTCCTCGAAGGTTCAGACGAGTGAGGAAACCCAGTGGGTCGTCGGGTTGTCGAATGGCAATGGCTCAGCTTTGCGAGTGAATATGAAGACAACCTGGTAGACTAAAGAAGGGTCACGGCATGATGACTCACCCTCTGCCAGTGTGGCGGTCCCAACCAAGAAGCAGGAAAATGGTTAAGGCGAGATTGAACAAAATGATGTTATTCCGTCTTTGGATTCTTTGTCGAACACTCTTGGAGCGCCGATGTGGAGACGTTGAACTTATTACCATCGATAAAATCTGTCAATAATACTCTTAGTGTGTAGGATGACATGCCAAACCATATTTCTTAAAGTTACATACAATTTTCTATATTTCTTGTCTGAATTTCATGTGGCATACCACTCGACCATATTTATCTTTACATTGTTTTTACAGAATCTATGATTACAATGATTTTATTATCTTCTAACAAACTTACTCAATCCGAGTATCACCTTTAAAATTACACAGATTTTATATTGGCCGCCCTATTTGAAAAACAAAACAAAATTTCTACCTACAATAGATCATATGGTTTCTGAATAATCAATATTAAAAAGAACAGATATATTTTAGATAATCAGATATATGTTTTCGTTTCTTCATATGCTGAACATCAGTGAGACTAGATATAGATAACATTTCATGATGTATTGTTGAATAATAACATGTTTACCCCACACGGAAAATTATTCAGTTAATTCATGACGAAAAAAGGGCATGCGATGGTTAATGAGTTTAATTTATCAGATGAATGACTGCAAATCAAGGTATGTTTACTTATGACGCGATGACATCGCCACCGGAATGCTGTAAGACTTGTCGTGTGTTTTGAAAGGATCTATGTTTTCTTGACTGGCGAATATTTGCCTCCCGCACAGACCCCAAGCCCGCCCCTTTCCCCGTCCCGACTTCCCTCCGCTTTCCAGTGTGCATTTTTGCATGCGTCACACGTGGTCGTGGCTAATTGCAGCCACGTCTGACAACCTCAACTCGAAGAGGTTTTCACCCGAGGAGCCGCGCATGTCAGGACTAGATTTGGCGGGAGATCTGACAGACCAGGGTTGTGGGGACTTCGGTATGAACTATGTTAAGGTGGTACTGTATGTTATGATTTGTTCCAGAGATTTCTCAAAATAACATCTACCGTATACTCCCGGACAAAACACCCCCCCATAATTGTACACCCCCGGGTAGCTTGTGCGGGGTGGGTGTTATGATAGACCTCGTTTCTACTATACCCCCCTTTTTGGCTGATTTTCTATAACACCCCCCTTTTCTTACGGATTCATTATTATAGTCGTTAACGAGTAGCTACAATACGGAAGAATATCGTGTGAATTTCTCCCTCGATGAAATTTCGCGGTACATTCAAAGGCAATCTGCCGAGATTTGCCCCCTCCCACTATTTCTCTGTCGCCACGTGCAGGTGAATCTTCCGTTGCAAGTGGCAAGAGAGGTGCCACATGCCATTTTCGTGGGGGCGATGAAGTTCGAGGCCGAAACTCACATTCGCGCCTCAGGCAGTGATGCTAAAACGACCAGAAAAACACCCACATTGACTAATTAAAAAAACACTAACACTAAAATATGCCATATGTAAAGACCCGGGTTGTCAAATGTTGAACATTGATATGATAGGCTATAGTGAGTTGCACTCTAGGGGGTACAGCTTCTAGGGTTGCTCATTTGTACCCCATTCGTTTCTATTCCAATCATTCCGTTGTTCGCTAACTTTAAAACCAGGGTGCACATTCAATTGGATTTCTGTCAAAGGTTAACCTTTGACCTCGGGGTTACTCAGTGATTTAGGAATATCTGGGGGGGGTGTTCGCTTCAGCAGGTGAACATTTGAACCCTCGAGATTTGGCAAATGTATACCGAAGTCATCGAATGTGCTTCCGCCAATTCGTTTCCCCCCTCCCCATACCTATTCCGCTCCCACCGAAATTGTTTCCCCTTCCCCCACAATATCGTCTCACCCCCTTTCCCCTTTCCGCCAACCCAGTTGCCCTCCCCTTGATCCCCAATTTCTAGATCCAAGTGTTATCAATTTCTCCCCTGCCAAGCCTCATCTCTCACGGACGAAAAGCCCCATGCTCGCCCATTCTCAACTATTTATTCGCTACTCGTCAACCAATCAGCAGTTCCCGCAAACATGCCGCCCAAAATTTAGCCTGGAGTCGCGTTGAATGTGTACCTTGGTTTTAAGATGGTATCATGAGTAGGTGTCGATCCTCTCGCCTAGCCTAGCCTAGCTCGCGCCCTAGCGCCCTCCGCGCCCTTGCGCCCTAGCACACTCCGCGCCCTCCGCGCCCTCCGCGCCCTTGCGCCCTAGCACCCTCCGCGCCCTCCGCGCCCTCCGCGCCTTAGCCACCGCGCCCTCCGCGCCATCTCCGCGCCTTAGCGCCCTCCTCCTCCGCGCGTTAGCGCCCTCCGCGCCCCTAGCCTGCGCCCCTAGCCCGTCGCCCAGGCCCACGCCCTAGCCCGTCGCCCAGGCGCCCGCCCTAGCCCGTCGCCCAGGCGCCCGCCCTAGCCCGTCGCCCAGGCGCCCGCCCTAACCCGTCGCCCAGGCGCCCGCCCTAGCCCGTCGCCCAGGCGCCCGCCCTAGCCCGTCGCCCAGGCGCCCGCCCTAGCCCGTCGCCCAGGCGCCCGCCCTAGCCCGTCGCCCAGGCGCCCGCCCTAGCCCGTCGCCCAGGCGCCCACCCCAGCCCGTCGCCCAGGCGCCCGCCCCAGCCCGTCGCCCAAGCGCCCGCCCTAGCCCGTCGCCCAGGCGCCCGCCCTAGCCCGTCGCCCTGGCCTGCGCCCTAGCCCGTCGCCCAGGCGCCCGTCCTAGCCCGTCGCCCAGGCCTGCGCCCTAGCCCGTCGGCCAGGCGCCCGTCCTAGCCCGTCGACCAGGCGCCCGTCCTAGCCCGTCGCCCAGGCGCCCTCCCTGGCTCGTCACCCCAGCCCCGCAGGCAGCGCGCCACGCGGGTAGCGCGCCCCGCGGATAGCGCGCCCCGCAGGAGGCGCGCCCCGTGGTTAGCGCGCCCCGCAGGAGGCGCGCCCCGCGGGTAGCGCGCCCCGCAGGCAGCACACCCTGCAGGCAGCGCGCCCCGGGGTGCTTTAGTGCCAGAAAATAAATAAATAAATTAAACCCTAAAAAAAAAAAAAAAAAAAAAAGGGGTTCACAGTGGGGGCCTGCGACTGTCGCCCGCGTTCTTGCTTGCCGGACGTCCTGCACAGTTGCCTACATCCCGCAGCCGTCAGTACTGCAGCCCCTACTGTCGCACGTACTTTCCACTGCCAGTGGCTCTACTAGCGGCAGCCGACAGCCGCACTTACGGTCTCTAGCCCCGGCCGTTCCTACCTCCAGCCAGCCCTAGCTCGCCGCTTCTAGCTCCAGTCTCGCTCCAGCCGTTCTCGCTCCTCGCTCGTAGCTCAGTTTGGTCCGTGCTCCGGCCGTTCCTCGCCTAGTTTCACCTGGCGCTTCTAGCTCAGTTTGCTCCGTGTTCCAGCCGTTCCTCGCCTAGTTTCACCTGGCGCTCCTAGCTTAGTTCGCTCCGTGCTCCAGCAGTTACTCGCCTGGTTTCACCTGGCGCTCCTAACTTAGTTCGCTCCGTGCTCCAGCAGTTACTCGCCTGGTTTCACCTTGCGCTCCTAGTTGTTCTCATTTTTCACAGCAGCCTGTCGCTCCTGTCGCTCCTAGCCTGCCGCTCCTGCACCCCGCTAGCTTTTATCATGGAGTCCACTAGGGTTCTCCAGCAGCAGGGACAGCAGCAGCGGCCTTTTCAGCAGTGGCTTACGCAGCGGCAGGGGCGCCCTCAGCAGCTCTGGTGCCCTCAGCAGCCATGGGGGCCTGGTGGTTCAGGTCGCGTTGGCTGCAGCAGCGGCCCAGCCAGCTGGGGGGCTCGTCCCGGTGGCCGCGACGTCGGCCCCTGCCAGTACCGGATCCTGACCGGCCCTGGTGCTGGCACTACCTGCTGGCGTCCTGACCACTCTGCACAGCGCTGCTACAGCCGCCTCGACGACCTTTACCGTGAGCGTTTTGGGCCTGAGTCGGCTCCCCCGATCTGGCCGGGTCTGTTTTGTAGTGGTTTCCCTGTGTTTGATATGTCTATGGATGCTGTTTATTCTGTCACGTACGGATCTCTTGGCTTACGTGTACCTAGCTTAGGACCTTTGCCTGTTGCTAGTGTCGGTACTTGTGCTTTTAGTGTAGGTGCTTGTGTAGTCACTAGCCCAGCCGTGACGACTGCTGTTGCGTCGCTCTCCTTCACGCTGGACTCCGGCGCGTCTCAGTGTTTCTTCCGCGACCACACCACTGTCACACCTCTTTCGGCTCCAGTCCCAGTTGCCCTGGCTGATCCTACTTCAGGACCAGCAGTTGCTCGTAGCTCGACCACCCTCCCGTGCCCGGCTGTCCCCTCTGGTTTCCTCACTGGTCTCTACATCCCCTCGTTCTCTCGGAACTTGGTGGGTGTTGGATACCTTCAGGACCAGGGGATCACAGTCACTTTTCCTGCGCACGGGAG